GCTGCGGGGCGAAGGGGCCCAGGAGAGGCGACCCCACACCTCACAGGGGCCCTGGAGCTGCCACGCCCACAGCGGGAAAGGTCTCCACAGCCGCAAGAGCTAACCCTGTCCCATGTTACAGTGAGAAGATGTGGGGGCTCGGAACGTAATTTGGGGTCTCAGAAAACCCGCCTTGTAAATAAGAGAGCGCGCATGTAGGCTCTGAGTCCGGCACTTTGTTTACCCCACCAAGGAAAGACGGGAGCCCGTGGGCCCACAAGAGGGACAGCCGCGCATGCTGAGGAGCCGGAGAGCGCCCCACGGCTGCCCAGGTGTCTCGGTCCGGTGATGAGCCCTCCGTGCTCGCCACGGCCGCGTCGTCCTCGGCCGCCCCTCGTCCTCGGCCCCGCCTCGTCCACGGCCCCCATCCTGTGCTTTGTGCTCCCTCCCCGAGTGCAGCTGTGAGGGAACGCACCCCCAGACCCCTCTTCTTGCCCCTCGGGAAGCAAAGGCCTCAGGTCCTTCGGCTCATCCTCTCAGGGCAGAGAGTGGCTCTCAGCAGGGAGGGGCGCGTGCTCAACAAGCCTCAGGAGTCCCGTTGTGGAGAGCCAGCGCAACAGCGAGGAACGCACACGCGAGTGCAAAGTGGCCGGGCCACTCCTCTTCCTGCACGGTTCCAGTGTGCCTTAGAAAATGTACTTTTAACAGCTCAGACACAGGAGGCTGGAGGATTGTTGGGGCCACCCCGAAGCAGCAAGTCTGGACTAATTCCCGAAGAAGCAAAGGCCTTTGGAAACCAGTGTGCTTGAGGCACTGCTAGAATAACTCAGGGCTGGGCCCTGGGCCACCAGGATTGGTGTCTTCCAGGGTGACTCAGAGCCGCAAAGGCCCTGGGTTGAGGTTCTAGGCACTGCCAGCACGGCCAAGAGCAGGGACGGAGATCCAGGGCTCGGGAGGGAGGGGCAGCATGTTCGGCTTGGCAGGCAGCACGTGGGTGCGATTAACTGCAGCTCCCGTGAACGCTGAGCCCTGGGAAACAAAGCAGCGCCAGGCCTGGGGCGGCCTGGGCAGCAGGAAGGCTGGGAATGAAGGGGGCTGGTCTGCGGCTGCCTGGCTTACAGAGGGACTGCATTTATCTCAGGGCCCCACTGGGGCGCGACAGCAGCGGGGCCAGCTACCCTGACTCCTCTCCCCGGATGGACGCGCTGCGGGAGCTGGAGGGCAGGGCTGGGCTTGGCCCTCTCGTGCACTCGGGTGTGGGCGGCCCATAAGCCTTGACGCGCTGCGCCCCTCACGGCAGGAGGGGCTGGCTTTCCTACACGTGGCCAGGATGCAGGAGGCCCAGCAAACACATATTCTCCCAGAAAATCTAGAAACCGTTGATACAGCCAGGGGTCCCTAGTAAGGCCAGGGCCCTCACTGAGCCAAGCTCTGCTGCCGGCGTGCTTGCCTAATTACAGGCATCACTAGTTCCCGCCCATGTGACGCCAGCTTGCCACGGCGCAGTGCCTTGAATGTGAGAGCATGCTCTACGTGAGCCGCGCGGGTGTTGCTGGGTTTCAGTGCTGCCACTTATGAGGATCACACGGCCTGGCCCACAGACGCCTGACTGCCCCCAAGGACAGCACGGCCACCTGCAGCTGAGCCACAGAAGCAGCAGCCTCGGGATGCAGCCTGATGTGGATGGATGTGCCCTGTCCCTGCTGTCGCCTGGTGCCTGCTAGAACCCACTACTTTGGACTTGCTACCACGTCCCAACCCCCTCATCCCTGCCCAGACACAAAATGCTCCTCGGGAACTAGCTGGTTGCCAGGGTAACGGCCCAGCACCTAGCACCATCCTCTGGCCCCTCAGTGGTCATGACTTCCTTGTCATCATCCTCCGCCCTCAGTCTTGGCTGCCCTCGCGACTTTCTTTAACCCATAGAATGTGAGAGAGTGACACTGTGCCAGCGTCCAGTCTAGGCAGCAAGGAGCCTGCAGCCACCAAGTAGGCAGATCTGGCCGCCCTGCTGGTAAGACACAGGGAGAGAAAGAGATGTCACCAGCCCTGCTGGTCCCAGGGACGGGCAGTGCCACTCCTGTGGTGAGGGCCCACCTGTGCCGGTCAGTGCTTGTCCCTGTCCCATGCATACTGAGTCTTCCTACACGTATACTTGTGCTCATTTAGCTTCTATTTCAAGTGTCATAAATAATGGATTATTATTTTTCTCTGAAATTCACACCTATTCAAAAGAAGAGGTGCAATCCTAAAATTTGTCATATTGTGTTATTAATTACTTTCCTTTTATTTTTCTTTTAATTGTAGAACATTAAATTGATTTGGGGTGTACAGGTAGTAGTACTGAAATCACTTCAAAATATTTGTTTTAAAAGTGGGGTGCAGGTGGGGTAGAGGTCAGAAGAGTTGGCTCTAAGGCCTCGCTGCTCCGTGTGGCCTCCCCCGGCCACAGAGCCGGTGGGACGCGTGGGCTGGCAGGACGCCCGGCACGCTGGGTCAGAAGCTGCATCTGCAGGGGTTCCCGGGGGTGGCCTGCTCCCGAAGGTTGGCAGTGCTGCTGTCAGGCTCCTGGGCGCGACTGAGGGGGACCCCAAGGACCACCACGCACAGCCCTCCATCCTTGGCCCCACAGGGTGGCTGGGGGGCGCCCAGCTCCTAGGGCTCTCGGGCAGCACCTGCCCACGGGAGTCGCACCAGACCACAGCGGCCCAGGAGCTGCAGGTGCTGGGTGGAGCTGCTCGGGAGGGATCTCAGCAACAGCCGTCACGGAAGGAGGAAGGAAAATTCCTTCAACAAGGTCGGCCCTGGTGGCAGACATTTTCCTGAATAGAAACGTGAGGCTTGGGAGGAAGCCGGGCTGGAACCTCACCTCTGCCCCTGCCTGGTTTCAGGACTCTGTAGAGCTCCTCAGCTGTGCTCTCTGTGAAATGGAGCCACGCGGGCTGTCGCCCAGGAGTGCGTGAGCACACACAGCAGCCAGCACGGGGCCTGGCCCACAGCAGGTGCTCGGATGGAGCCCTGGACAGCTGGGGGCTTTCAGCACCGTGCACAGACACGACAGGCCATCTGGGTCCCCTTACTCCCCCGAGGGACAAGGCAGCTGGCATCCCCATTCTCAGGGGGCTCTCTGTGGGGCCTGAAGGAGGACACCAGGTACTTCCGTGTGTCCCAGTCTACCCTTCTGGGCCTTGCTTTGCTTCCCTGGCTCTGCCCAGGGCCCTGTGGGGCCTGCAGCTCAAGTCAGACTCTCTAGCACACCCCTGAGCCCAGGCAGAGTGCTGTCAGAGCACACTCGGCTTGGAAACTGCCGATGTGGCTTCCACACTCCAACCGTTCAGAGCAAAGCAGCTGGGAAACAAACCCGTTTGCCCACCATGTGCTGAGCATCTGTCACGAGCCAGATTCCAAGGAGAATGGATCAAATGTGTGGTCCCTGCCTTGCGTGCTCTTGAAGGGAGGCCCATGCCAATGCACATGTGCAATGAGCCACGAGGGGGAAGGTTCTGGAGCTGGCTTTGCAGGACAGCACAGAGACACGCAAAAACGCTGGCAGGAAGGGCACGGGCTCCAGAGGGAGAGACCTGGGCTGCACCGGCCCCGTGGCATGGTGCCAAGTATGCAGAAGTTCTCTGTTGCCCCTCTGGACCCCTGTCCACCCTTGTCCACCCCGCTTGGGCCCCTGGAGGCTGGCCTCTGTGCCTTTGTGCTCCTCTGCCCTCTGACTTCTGGTGGGAGATCTGCGTGGGAAAGAGAGAGGCTGAGGAATGCACGGTTCTGGCTCCCTCCCCCCAACTCCCCTTTCTAAGGCCCCTGCTGGCAACCCCTCCCAAAGCTGCAGCTCTTGCACGTTCAGGAACCTCTCCTCCCGTGTCCCTTAAGGTCTAGGCTGGAAGCAGCTTCCTGTCAGTGCTTGTCCCTGGACGTGTGTCCGCCCTCCCTGGTCCCTTAGCCTTGCCATACCTCTGGGGAGAATGCCCTCCCTAAACACTGCCAGAGTCCCTGTTGGAGTCAAGCAGAGAGGACCACATCTGACACTTCCAAGCTCCAAGACCTTGGGCTAATAGTGATATTATATTTAATTATAACCATATATCAACATCAATACGGGATGTTTACTAGGAGCTAGAATGTCTCAAAGGTTTTGAACCTCTCTCTGTTGGTAACAGACCTCACAACGCCCCTGAGGCTGGCGTGCCACTGTCTCCCATGTCTCAGATGAGGAAGGAGAGGCAAGAGGACACATCGTCTGCAGTAAGCAAGGTGCAGTGCCGTGGAACCACCGCCAGCCCAATTCTAGAGCTCAGCTCTTATCCCGGTCATCAGTAGGAGTGACAGTGTCCCCGGCTGTTTTGGAGACTGAGAAGGGGGTGCCGGGGGGCTCTCAGAGGAGACCACCAACAAGAGGTCTGCACACACGAAACTGAGGCTTGATGACAGGTGGGGACTCACGAGACAGCAGGCAACATTCACAGGGGTGACAGGCACAGGAACTGCCAGCCCTGAGAAAGATGGCATAAGGCAGGCAGGGGCTGAGGACAGAGTCCGGGGAAACGGGGACGCCGGCAAGGAAGGAGGTGAAGGGACACTCAGACTGGACGGGGAACCAAGGGAAGGGGAGCTTTCCAAGGCCTGCCAGGTGAACTCACAGGAACGTTCCACCTAAGGAAGCGGTGTCGATCCGCTTCATAGATCCAGAGCGGTTCAGGAACTCGTCCCAAAGCTCTTACGTGGCAGAGCCATAATTCAACCCCAGGCTCATGTGACACCACAGCCTCTTTGGGGAGAGTGAAGGCAGGGAGCAGCCACGGGGACCAAAAAGGGCTTCTGTCAGCAGCAGCCACGGCGTGTTTGAGCAGAGGCTAAGCAACATGCCTTCCGGCTCGCTGTGCTCAGCACCCACGGGTAACCAGCCCCTGACTCACCGTGTACTTTTCCACCAAGGTGATACTTTGCCAGGCGCCTCCCGCCTGTCTGTGGCCGGCTGTGCTCGCACCCCAGACATGACCTTATCGTTTTCTTACCTCTGGGTTTCCTCTTGCTGAACACAGACTGCCAGACGACGGCCAGCAGGAAGAGCAGGATGCTGAGGATGCCGAGGCAGCACACGAGGACGGCGTACACGTAGAGATCTGAAAGGCAGGGCACGTGTCAGCCTCTCGGCCGCAGGCGGAGCTACACTGGCACAAAGACCGTCAAAACGGAAATTTGAAGCCCAATCCTACAGCAGTCAGGGCACTGTGTAGTGGTGGAGGGGCAGACACAGATGGAGGAAACAGAACCGACAGCCCAGAAAGACAGCCCACACAAGCATGCTCAACCGATTTTTGACAACAGTACAAAAGCAATTCAGTGGCGGAAAGAGAGCTTCTTCCATCAACAGCGCTGGAGCAAGTGGACTCTCACTGGCAGGAAATGGAATTAAGCCTCACACACTGTACAAAAATCGCTCAAAAGGAACCACAAACCTAAATGTAAAATGTAAACTAAAAAACTTTTAGGAAAAACAGCAGAAAACCCTGGGGATCCAGGGCGAGGCAGGGAGTTCTCAGACCTGACGCCAGCAGCGCCATCCACGCAAACAAAACATGAGAGATCTGATGTGATCAAAATTGAAGACTTTTGCTCTGGAAACCATGTGAAGAGAATGAAAAATCAAGCTATAGGCCAAAAGAAAATATTTGTAAACCACATATCCAACAAAGGATTAATACCTAGAATATAAAGACTCTCAATACTCAACAGAAAAAATAAACAATCTTATTAGAAAAATAGGCAAAACATACAGAGACATTTCACGAAAAAGGATATACAGGCAGCAAATAAGCACATGAGAAAATCTTCAATTTCCTCAGCCATTAGAGAAATGCAAAAATATCTTACACACCTTTCGGAATGGCTAAAATAAAAAATTGCGTCAACACCAAATGCTGGCAAGCTTATGGATAAGCTGGGTCACTCTGATGTAGCTGGTGGGAATGTGAAATGGTATAGCCGCTTTGGAAAACAGTTTGGAAGTTTCTTAAAAGATAATCCCATAACTACCATATAACCCTGCAATGGCACTCCAGGGCACTTGTCCCAGAGAAACGGCAACTTAAGTTCTCACAAAAACCTGTGCATGTATGTTGATAGTGAAACCACTTATATTAAAGTAATGTAGGGCCACAAGGCAAGAACTGTGGCAGAAGTCTGATTTCTACAGAAGAATAGGCAGAGCTAAAAGTTAACCAGCCACTATTTCATCGCTTGCCTTCCTACAATTGCTTACTGCTTAGGAGTCAGGTACTCCTGACTGTTGCGAGATGTATAATTGCTCCTATAGATAACGTCCCTGTTGTGAACCTAAGACTGGTCCTTGAGACATTCCCCAGACTCTGCATGCAGGGAGCCCACCAACGGACACCAGCCACAGCAGTGGCCATGTGGGGGACTGACGCAACAGGTCCTGCAACCCTCTACCCAAGAACTGTCTCAGCCCAGAAGACAATTTCTGCCTGCCCACCCTATGAGTTCATCCCCAGCCAATCAGCAGACCTAATTCCCTAGCCCTTTGTCTGCCAAATTACCTTTAAAATCCCTGGCCCCAACATTCTCAGGGAGATGAATTTGAAAAATTCCTCTCGTCTCCTTGCTTGGCGTCTTGTGACATTAAACTCTTTCTCTGCTGCTACCCCTGCTGTCTCAGTGCACTGGCTTCCCCTGTGCATGGGCAAAGAACCCGGCTGTGCAGTAACAAGAGCAGCTTTATTCATGATGGCCCCAAACGGACACAACCCAGATGTCCTTTAACGGGCGATCAATGAAACAAAGTGTGGTATGTCAACACTGTGGCATACTCAGCAATAAAAAATTAAAAAAACTACTGATACACACAACAACCCGAATGGCTCTCTAGAGAATTATGCTGAATGAATAACAAAGGATCCACAAAGGTTTCATACTGTATGATTTCATTTGTATAGCATTCTCAAAATGACTATAGTACAGAAATAGAGGACAGATCCATGTGGTTGCCAGAGGTTCAGGAGGGCTGAGGATAGGAGGAAAAAGAGTTTGGCATAGGGCCCCTTGCAGTGACAGAGACATTCTGCACCTTGACGGTGCCGATGCCACAGCCCGGCTGCGATGCTGCTCCGCAGCTCTGCAGTTCTCTGTCGCTGAGAGAAATCGGGCAAAGGACACCGGCAGGTATACGGACCTCTCTGCACAAGTTCTTAGAAATGGATGTTAATCTACAATAACTTCAAAATAAACAGTTTTTTAAATCTCAATAGCTAAGCCTTGTTCATATACATATACATTTCTTAAATTCAATTTTATCAGCAATCTGATCCATTAAATGCCAAAATGGTGCAGAAAGTGGAAAGGGAAGCCAAAGCATTATTTCAGCCTTCTAGGAAGCAAACTGCTGCAGATGTTGTATGAAAACATTTCTCTACTGACTTAAATTTCTTCAGCCAACAGACATTTATTATCTGCCACGTTCAGTACTCTCCTAAGTACAAGAAATAAAGACGAACATGCAAAGGTTTTCTCTCCAACACATCAGAGGACTACGTGGTAACTGCAACAATAGGGACACGTGTCCAGTCCTAGGGACACACGGATGGACTCAACGCAGCCTGTGCAGGCTGGGGGGGTTCCAAGAGAGTAGAGCTCCGCACTGAGCTGTATGGAAAATAACACAAAATACAAAAATGTATGGAGGAAAAAGTCATCAGCCATCCCATCGCCCTGAGCTCACTACTGTTAACATTTGGTGTACTTTATGATTCCATGCATGAATTTTTAAATTGAGATCAGGCGGTTACATGTCTTGCTTTTTATTTACCTCATTTTCTTAATAAGTCCTTTTCAGAAAATGATTCTGAATCATTTTTAAAAGTATGATAAAGGTTTATCATACTAGTATACCATCAGTGAGTTAACAATCCCTTACTATTGGCTACTCAAAGTATTTCTACCTGTTCCCCATAATAAATAATTCCATGATGAGCATTCGTAAACTTTTACCTTAATGCACCTCTTACAGTATGTCCTTAAGATTATGTTCCTGGAAGTGGAATTGCTGAGCTAACAGGAATGCACCTTGCAAAGCCCTCAGGACGTGGAGAGGCAGGTAGTTAAGTGCTCGAGCTGCCGGTGCACTGGCCCCACAGCAAGCCTGGAGGAGCAGGCCGGGCTCGAGGTCAGTGCGAGAGAAGGGAGAATGGACGGAATCCCATGCTCGGGCCCCAGGGAGGCCCCGTGCCGCTTAAGCCCTGGAGGGCACGAGCTCCTCCTGCATTCAGGAGGTCAGCATTTTCACCCAGGCTGGCTGGAGTAGGGTTCTGCCTCTGGTGACATGTAAGGCTGGGCTAAAGTTAAAATACGTGGAAAGAAAGTCCCGCAGGACAGGCTGCAGGTGATCACCTGCACTAGTATTCCAGCGAGCAGGGCGGGGGGTGGAGGTGCCGGTGGGGGTGGGGGCAGGGAGAGTCCCCTACAGAGGGACCCAGAACTGGTCATGGAAGCAGAGAAGACTGAAGCGAGAGTTCTAGAAGCCAAGAGTAAAGTGCCGCCGCAGGACACGGCTGGTGGGGAGGTCCTGGGGGCAGCCCGCCGGCCGCCGCTGGGGGCAGAGCTGGATGAGAGCGCTCGGGGAGCGGTGGGCTGTGAGGAGCTGAGACAGAAGTATAGAGAACTCTCTCACATGTCTAAAATTAAAACCTTCCTCTGCAGAAAGCTGTGTCCCTAACGTGCAGGCTTTGTAGATTAGCAGGCTGGAGCACTCCCTGCGGGGTCAGAGTTAGGACAGATGCTTGGGCCTCCATTTAAACTACGTGAAACTCAGCAACGGGATTCCTGGATTCTGGACAAGACACTCCTTGACAAACTGGGGCAGAGCAGAGTCCACAGCCCAGGACTCGGACAGGACACTAGGATGCAGGACTGGCCAGAAAACAGACAACACGTGGCCAGCTCCGGATTCATGCACTGCTGAGCAAACTACTCCAGGACAGGATGGCAGTGCACTTCCTGGCAGGAGAGGTTGGTAAACAACATGGTCATGTTGCAGATAGACGGGACGTGGCAGACAGGGCAGGGGGACACAGCGTCCGCCTCGAAGGGTTTGCGGCTGTGGGCCCAGGGACCAAAAGGCAGGGAAATTTGGCTCTGGTCTCATTCTTGGAATGGAGAGGAAAACTGCCTTACAAAGGTTTCCGTGCACGGGCGCTGGGCAGCCTGATCCAGGCGCGCCTCTTCGTCTGAACTCGACTGTCAATTTCAGGACTGCAGGAACCCAGGAGAGACTCGGGTGCAGTGAGAACCGCACCCACCCACCGCGGCGGGCAATCCTCCCAAGCGCCCAGCCGCTCGCTGTGGGCCTCTGGGACCCGCCCTGCCCGGCAGCAGGGAGGGCCCTCATGTGGGTCCAGATGGCTGCCTCCTAGCGCAGCACGGGGGCTCTCCACAGGCAGCTGCGACCACAGAATCATAGAACATCTGGCCGGGCCGGAAGGCACAGCTGCCCGGCCGAGCACGCAGGCCTGCGGGCTGTAGACGCTGGCCAGCAGGTGCCTCCCGCCTGCGTGGGGTCCCTCACACACAGAACGGTCACGGCCACTCTGTTGTGCTTCTGAAGCCACAGGAACCTCAAAAAGTGCCACCTTGCAGGAGGAGAAAATCCCAGAAAGAAGGTTCGAGTTTCCCTCGATGGGGCCACAGCCAGGACCCCCAGTTCTGATAATGCTCCTTCTGTCCCCAGCACCCCCTCTGCTGCATGAGGACAACCACCTGCTGTGTGTACTCCAGCACCAGCTCCACCTCCCCGGGCGTCCTCTGCAAGCAAAGGTGAAACTGGAACCACCGAGCCAGGGTCGCCCTCTGCCGTGTCAGCTGGTGCAGAGCCGCAGCAGACCTCAGCTGCGGGCCTGTTCTCGGGCTGGAAGGCTGGCCCTGTGTGGCCATAGCGTCCAACTTGTCCTCAGGGTTTTATGTGAAAATCTCCCTAATTATAAATGTTGCCTCTGAAGTTTTAAAAGTCACATGAGGCCAAACAGCACTTGCCAGAAGGCTGAAGTCAAATCTTCAGGCCCAAATTTAAGAAAACATCTGCAGTTAACTGAATGTGGAGTTAGCTTTTAAAATACCATATATTCCTGCACACCCACCATAATTGCAGAAATTGTGTTACATTCCCTGAATTCATTTGAAGTCTTTTGCCATTGGACTTCCAAAGGATGCCGTTTTTGCACTCAAGCGCAAGCAGCCATGCAGGAAACGCCTGCGCCTCCCTGAAGCAGACGCGGGGCTGGCGGGCTGGAGTGGCTGCCCGCGCAGCAGAGAGGCCAAGACAGGGGTGCACAATGTCGGCGTGCCAGCTCCCACCGTCCCAGACAACATGGCCAAGCCAGGGCAGACAGCACCTGTTGCCTGGCAACCTGGATTCCAGCAGGGTTATTCAGCGCTGCTTTGAAACAGCATGACCCCTGCATTCCTCAGCATAATCAAGGAACCCCACTTTCCCCCGACCACTGGATGAAGAGAGATACTGTCCATCCTGTACGTTTCCAGGGCAAATGCAAACAGCCCTGGCAGATGGCAGCTTTCTGGCGATAAAACTCTGCTTCCTGCTACTATTTTTTAATCCAGCCCATAACAGCATCTTGCTTAGGGTGAGATACCTGAGCGATAGCCCTGAGGGATTTAACTCACCCCTGCACCCCACAAAGAGGCCTGACCATCAATGCCTCCTTTGTGGGGTGGGCTCCGGGCCAGGCGAGCTGGCCCCAGGGGGATGGCGTCCGTCTGCAATCCACTGCACTCTCCCGGGCAGGAACAGAAGGGCCAAAGGCCTGGGATCATGCGCCAGGGAGTTTCAACTGTACCTCTAACCTCGCCAAAGCTGTGGCTGGGTTAAAAAAGCAAAACACGCGGATGTCGCTGCCGCAGCTGCCATTGCCAAGTCATGGGAAAAGATGGCTTTGGAAACAGGGGCTCTGAGGCGAGCATCGCACATGGCGAGAAAGCCAGCTCTGCTCTTTGAAGGGCCCGGTTCCCACTGCTGAGCGCACAGCGCACGCCGGGCTCCGGTCTTCATGCAGAGAGTTAGGTCAGAAGAAACCCTGACGCCCCACAGCTACATGTGAGCCATAAAACATTGTTAATTATACAAAGTGCTTCAGAGACACTGGCTATGCTGCAGGTTGTAGTGGGACTGAAGGCCACAATCCTTCCAAATATATATAGTTTTGCTTTTTGTAGCACAGCATTTTCAAAATATGATCCTCAGACCATTTGCCTAGGAATCTCCTCTGCCGAGGAGATTCGCACCGAGAAAGTGCAGATTCTTCGACCCCTTCTTAATGAAACAATCACACCCTCAGGAGCTGCAGCCCAGGCCTCCCGGGACACTCGTGTGCATCTCATGATGCACAGGGCTCTGGCCGCCACATCCCGGTGACATCCCTATCTTTAGGGACACCCAGGTCGTTATGAAGATAACCCCATCTTGTCACAGTGCCTGGACACAGGGCAGCTCCGGAGACCTGGGGTAAAAACCAACGCGGGTTGCTCACTTTACTAGGCATCAACGAGAAGGTCGGCCTTGCTTGTAGTGCTGCGTCACCCCACGAGGAGTGAAGCCACTTTCGGCTCTTTGCCAACAGGTAGGCATTTCAGGGATCTGGGGATTATTTGCTAGACGATCATCAAACATAGAAAAAAGCAGCTACAAAAGGTACAGAAGAAAATTCAAGGAATACAAAGAATCATTATTGGCGTAAAGGGCAATCTAAGGATATGTGACTATATAACTATATAACAAATATATGACTATAAAACTAAACAATCCTAGTGGCCTACGTGGGTGACACCTTATGGTTTGTAAATGATGTTCACAATTAACAATTACATTTTTCTAATAAAGAAAGAAAGGGCTTCAGCCCGCTGCTTTATTCCAGGTACTGGAGGTGTGCTCTCCCTCCAAGGCCGGCCCTCCGCCACACTACCCACTGGCTCAACGGGGGAGCCGGTGACGCCCCCGGCACGCGCATCTCCTGAGATGTTTTTGGCTAGATCGTTCTTCATTAATAAATGCCATGCCTTCACAAGAATAATCCTCCCAAAGTCACTGACCATCTCTCACCCGGTCTCTCACTGACCGAAGGCTCTGCCTGAGAACCCACAGCGTACATTCTTTCATTGCTTATGGCTCACAGTCCTCACTCGCTGTGTGGTAGTAATTTCTCTGACCTTGCCTTACTGCAAGGCAGGGTTTTTCGATCACGGCACTCTTGACATTTGCAGCCAAAATTCCTTGCTGTGGGGACTACCCTGTACATTATGGGATGCTTAGCATCATACTTGTCCCCTAGCCACTAGATGCCGGGAGCATCCCCCCACAGTTGTGCCAATAAACATATACACAAACAGTGACAAATGTCCCTGGAGGGGCAAAATCACCCCCTACTGAGACCCCTGCTCTAGGGTCCAAATCTGAGTGCACATCAGAATCACCTGGAGGTCTCATTAAAACCCAGATTGTTGAACATGACCCCAGCATACTGATGCCGTAAGCCGGGCCGGGGCCCAACACGTGTGCTTGTGACAAGGTTCCAGGTGATGCCGGCGACGCCGGCCTGGGACCACACTCGGGAGCCACTTTCTAGGGTGTGGTCTTCAGCCAGGCCGTGTGCTGCAATCAGCTGGGGAGCTTGTAACAAATTCCAACTGAATCAGGAGTTTCATGTCTCTGGAGACATGAAAAGGCATCAGTGTTAAAAGATCCCCAGCTGACCCTAACATGGGTTGAAAATTACTTGCTTAAGCTTTTCAAACTGTTTCTCAAACCCCAAACTCCTTAAGACATTTGAAATAAAATGTAGTCACAATAGATGTACTTATCATTGTTATATCACTTCAAGATTCAGGAATTCTGGAGAAAAACAAAACAAAGAAACAAAAATCATGCAGATTGGTGCTTACATTTCTGCTCTTTTAAAACACGTGCGCTGACACCATCAGTGATTCCCCATCTTGAGTATGTTTAGGCCCAGAAAACAACTTGATATTACGGCAAAACTTAGAAGTTAGGACCCTTTCTTCCTGTTCTCTTCCCTTCTTACTGTCTAAAAGTGAGGCTACATCTTATAATAAGGAAGCATGCAAGCTTTACCTTCAAAAACTGCCCAAGTCGTCTTCTTTTTCTCAAAAGATGAATCTTCAGAAGCTTTGAGAGAAATCACTGTAAGACAAAAAGAAACAGCACAATATGAAGTAGAGTAGCTAACAGCCCTGTCCCGCATGGTAACCTCAAATAATGCCATATGCTATATCTGGCACCCAACCTCATAAAGTCATTTCCACATTTGCAAAACCACACTTAATTGCCACAACTAACATGTATGGGCAGGTGCAGGGGCTCACCCGCAACAGCTAGGAACCCTGGGACACAGAAGAGGTGACGTATGTTGTCCATGGTTAAAAGCCAGGAAATGGCAAAGCCAGGACTCAGTTCAATAAAAGCCTCACCTGCCCCATAGACTACTAAAATAAAGAGTTTTCCAATGGGAAGTCCAAGAGCCAAAGTAGTGTTTATTTTACCATTTTGGTGCCTGAGTATTCCAAGACAGAGGAGGCTGCAGTCATCTGATGACTCAGCATCAGGCTCTGAGCACCATTCTCCATGCAAGACGGTCCCACAGAGCCGCAGGCATCTGATTTTGAGATTATTTTGCCTTCTTTCTGCTAATGGTGCATCACTGAATTTACTTTACCTGCTTTCAATAGTCAGAGAAACAGAATTGAGTCAGCATGTGTAAAATCTTGAACATCACACTAAAGAGTCTGGAACCATGAAAATGTTCTATGCATAGGGGTAACGTCATCACAAGTAAAAATCTAAAAATTAAACTGAAAAAAAAATGCAAAATATCAGGGAATAAGATTATTATCCAAGAGAACTTTCTGAGATTATGGAAATGTTCTGTGTCTTCCCTGTCCAATACAGCAGCCACTGGCCACATGTGGCCATTGAGCACTCGAAATGTGGCCAGTGTGACTAAGGAACTGAATCTGTAATTTAATTTTAATTAATTTAAATTTAAATAGCCACATGTGGTCAGGGGCTACCACATTGAAGAGCTCTAGACAAGAGAATTCAGGACCCAAATAAAAAACAAAGGTAGTTGGAATTGAATTGAATCAATATGAGAGGAAAGGAATTTGGCAAAGGTGGCCTAGAACTTTAATTCTATTTACTACCCCCTGCAAACTTTTGTATTATTTGCATAATTTCAATACTTAATTTTCCATCCTTTTTCTCTCTAGACCTTGCATTGGATGCTTCCTACTGACCTGTCTTCCAAATCACTAATTTTCTTTTCATCTGTGTCTAACCTCCTGTATAGCCCATTAAGTTCTTAATTTCATTCATTGTATTTTTTAGTTTTAGATTATTTGTTTAAATTTTTTATATGTATCTCAGTTCTCTAAAGACTTTCTCTAGCTTGTCATCTGATTTCTTAACCATATTAATCATACTGTTTTAATATCTATGCCTGATAACTTTCATATCATCACCTATAAACAGGTTTCTATCATCTGTTTTTGCTTTGGATCTTGTCCGCTGGTATGCCTGATTTTTTAAAATTATCTGTGGAAAATCATGGAAGGTCTACATAAAATTTTAATTTCCTGATAGGAAGTTATAGTAGGGGGATAGTCACCTTAGTCCAATCAGGGTTTGGACTCTTCAGAGGCTTGGTTTCAGTTTTTATAGAGTCCAGTCTATTTTTGATTTGCCCTTACTTTTAGGGTTCACTCAACCCTTCAGGGTTCCCCAATGGAAATCCTGAGGGGGTATTTACTGCAGCCCTTCCGATTTTCATCTCACTGTCAGAATTGCCAAAAACTCACTTGCCTCCTAAACACCTGGTTGTCACTTTCTGCATAGCTTCTCTCAACTAGCACTGCCTAAGTATGGTTGAATTTCTTTTAAAAGTGTCTCCAAAATTGAGCTCACTTTGCTCACTCTGCTACTTTTCTCTATGATCTACTGACCTATCTAGTCTGTCAGAGAACAACTGGGATAGCTGAAATATATTTGCACATATATAATTATGTAATACAAATGTATTTATGAAATATAGATATGTAATTCAGAAAGCAGAAATGCCGATAGATGTTTTCAGTTTTCCTAACTGTTCTCAGAAGAAGGCCTGTGGTCTGCTAGAAACGAACTTGCCTTTACCATAGAACTCTTCTCCCATCAGAACCTAAATTCTTTAAAACCAGTGGCTGTATCTTCTACCTTTGTCTCCCCATCATTTGGCACATTGCCTGGCAGCTGATAGGCACTTGGTATGTAACGAATGATCCATTTCTTTCTGCTTGTGAAGCACTTGCTTCACAAAGTAAGCAAGCTGGACCCTCAGGAAGGAATTTTTAGTGGGTATTCCGTCTTGCGTGTGACATAAGTTACATCAGACAATTAGTCCCTCATGCCGCCTTCCCCTGCCTGCCTATTTCACCCTGCAATCCACTGACAGCAGGGCAAGCAATCAGATTTGAGCACTTAAAATAAGAAACAGAGTACATATGGTTGCTGTAGGCCTGGGTAGGAAAGAGCTGGCGGCTGGCGGTGGGGGCGTGTGCAGCCCTGTGGGCACGCAGGTGGGCAGGACGGAGCAAAGGTGGGAACCGCGCAAAGGAAGGGGAGGCGGGAGGCCCCAGGCTTGATGGTGCTCTGGGCCCGAGAGGCCTGATGTTGCTTGTGTTCTATGACCTCTGCATCCTAAACTGTTCCCACCCTCTCCTGAATCCGCTTGGCTGGGTTTTCACGACTTCGACTAATAGAGCCTGGACAACGATAAGAAAGTCCTGATGAAGAAAACACAGAAATGGATATATCTCCAATATCTCCAATAAACATATCTCCAAGGAGCTTAGCTTTCAGGAGGTCAGAGATGTACATCGTGGTCCAGAGGCTTACCCCACCTGGGAGCTTGTTGGCAGTGCAGAATCTCAGGCCCCACCCTAGATCTACTGAATTAGAATCTGCTTTTAAACCCAGATCCCCCAGTGAAACATATGCACTTTAAAGTCTGGGATGCAATGATGCTCACTGGTGAAATACTAATTGCCACTTGCTGGTTGTGTGACCTTGGATAAGTCACTTAACTTCCCTGTGCTCTACTTTCCCCATTTGTAAAAAAGAGATGATGAGAAGTGCCCATGTCAGGGTGGGTGTGAGGGTTAAAGGGGTTAACATGCGTAAAGTACTTAGAACAGTGTCTGAGACCTAGTGAGCCAGCTCTATCTGCAAGGACGTTAGCTCCCTAAGAATAGGGATTTTTGTCTAATTTATTCACTGCTCTAACTGCCCCATCTAGAATGGTCCCTCACCGTCAGCCCTTCCCTCAGAGTACAACTCTTCAATTGTCCAAATGGTCAATAAGGAAGGGGTCCCTGTTCTTGTGGCTAAGTCCCCACAGCTCAAATGAGTCGAGGCAGGTGCCTGTGGACTGCTTTTAATTCACCTTTCAGGGGCAGAAATTGTGAGTCCTTGATTTAACACAATTACAGTGCAGATATTTTAAGGGAAAGCATAGTAGCTTTGTTTGGCATAGGATGATTAGCAACACTGGTCATACTCTTATCTGTTCCTACTAGAAAGGAAAATCTTTACACGGACCCTGCCAGAGCTTCAGGAATTTTCCCGAGGTTCTGCCATAACTATCTTGTTTCAGCTGCTAAGCCCATGCTATCTCAAAGTGAACTTGATAACATTGTTAGACCACGTGTCTAAGCCCAGAGGGGACAGAGAGTACGACCAGTCGGAGAGGCAGAAGGAAGTCCAATCTGGCCACCTTTCTCAATACCGCTTTATCGGAAATGCATGGGTATTCCCATTCCTGTTTGACCCCCACTCCCACTTGTCAATCAGTTCAGGGCTCACGGTGTGGGGAGGGGAGTCAAGAGCACTAAAAAGCTAAATCGTCAATGGATCTATCGACTGCTTTGTAATTTCTGGGGACCCCGCACCCAACAGGCACAGCCCACCTGACCTTCCAGTGAGGTGATGGCCCAGATGTCAGAGCTCGGACCATCCTGGGCCTTCCCCAGGAGCACAGAATCAGGTGAAATCTAATCAGGGACAAGCTGTGAGATCCACCACGTCACTGGCCCTCTAGGAAGAAGGTGGCTGCAGGACTGAATGGTCTGGAGGGAGGCAGCCCAGACGCACTGAGACAGACCGATCGTATCGGCCTCGTGTCTGGAGGAAGCAGACTGGAAAGAGAGAACCTCAGTCATATCCCCTTTGATGGGACCTGAGGCGAAACCGGCACTCAGAGAGGAGTGGAAACTGAGAGCCTCGATTCCTAGCTTGGAGAGAACGCCCTGCCAACTCCCCTGGGACATGCCCTCACGCTGCGGCCGTGAGTTCTCGCCCAGGCCCTGTGACGGTGCCCTCTGGGCTCCCTGTTCACCGACGATGCTGACACCAGCCATGGGGTGACCCAGTCACCCAGAGAAGAGATGGCCAAAGATATCTAGAGGCTCTGGGAAGGCTCCGCTTCTCCTGAACCTCTCTCCCAGGGGTTCACATGCGCCCCGGTTTCTTTTACAAAGAATCCTATGATTCACCAAGCTTAAATTGCAACTATAGGTTTACATCCAAAGCAAGGTGTGCATTTCTGGCACAGAAAGCCTTCCAGAATGTGGGCTTTGCTGGCAAGGAGAGGAGAGGGGCCCTGGCATGCAGGGAGAAGGAAGGAGGCGACTGCAAATGGCGGCAAGGACGTGGGCAGGCCGGCGCCCAGTCAGGGGAGGCCCTCGCCGTTCTGTTCCTGCTGCTGGCCAGGCCGCCCACGTATTCTGTGTTCTACAGATCCCGGTCTTAACGGCTGTTGTCTTCACTAGTGCCCCAAGGCCAAGATTTTTAAAGCTTTATTGTGCACAAGAATCAACTGGGCTCTTTTTAAAATGAAGATTCCAGCATTCATTGCCCCTGAGTTTCTGGGGAGGGCTCAGAAATCTGCCCAATCAGGGAACTAACCTGGGGCTGCAGGTCCCAGGACCCCACTTGAAGCTCTGCCTTATGTACTCCTAGAAAAGAGGGAAACTGAGTCCAGGGAGACACAGCAGAGGAGATTCATGACGTGAGAAACCAGGCCCTGGGCCTCAATGTGCTGTGCAGGCCAGGGCAGGATCTAGGACTCAAAACTAAGCCAATGCCTCTTC